GCGCGACTGGCTGTTTCTTTCTTTTTCCTCACCTCACACGACGTGACGTCACCTGGAGTGTTGGAACATATGAACTGTGGCGCTACGACATATCAATGTTATGCTTCTGAAAATATATTTCTTTCTTTCCTGGCAACTTGCTGTGGACCAGTGAATATATTTCTTTCTTTCCTGGCACCTCGCTGTGGACCGGTGACCGGTGGCTTGCGGACCAGCACTGGTCTGCGGACCATGACTTTGAGAAGCACTGGTTTACAGGACAAGACTAACATGGTTACATTTCGCTACTATTACACTCTATGCTAACATCAGCTACATTAGTTCAGTTCATGCTACACCAGCAGCAGCCTAGAGCCCCCACACCACTTGCAAGAGTGCATAGCCCCAGTCCCTGGCCTGCCCTGCCATTCTGTACCGCACAGGCTGCAGTGGTGGCTTTTTCTGGCTGTCATCACTGCTGGCCTCAGCCCCATGATACTGGTGGCAACCCATGCACATGACCCCGTCTTGCGCCCGCTCTGGACTCAGCCCAGCAGAGAGGATCAGCTCTGGACCAGCCAGATGGGGATGAAAGGAAGCTGGAAAGGGATGAAGGGGAACCTGTGTGCACAGCCCTGATCTGGCCTACCCTGTGCCTGGTATGGACTTGTCTGCCCAAGCTGAGCAATGGCAGCAGCTGAGCAGAAGCTGCTGTTGGTCCCAGGGGAAAGCACCTTCCCCCACTCTCACCACTGCTGGGCCCTTCTTGCTGCAGCTGCCCATAGCCCATGTCTGGGCTGCCCTGCTACTCCTCTCTGCCACTATCGCTGCTGCCTCTGGGCCACCCAGTGGGACAGCAGTGGAAGTACAGAGGAGCCTCTGGGCAGCCCAGGCATGGGCAGCAAGAAGGCCCCAGGGTGTATTTTGCCCACCCACTATAAATTATTGGTTCAGTTAATTCCTTATCTAATTCTATTGTAATCAATGGAGTTCTGTTAAGGATTAATTTGATTTTGTATGTGTTCCTCACTTCTTCTAAAATGTTTTCCTCCATTGTCAGTTTTATGTCAGTTCAGTGGCAAAAGAAGTTAGAATAAACAGCTTATAATTTAGCTCTTATGCTGTTTTTAAAACTGTTTGGTAAACAGGAAAAATGGGCACTTTATTATATTCTGTATACTCAGATTGTCAAAAGTTTTCTGAGATGAATGTTCATAATTTCAAAAGACAATTAAATATTATTAGACAGTACCACACAAGTATCCACAATTTCTAAAATAATGGAAGTAACAAGAGGCTAATTTAAGTTTTTTAATATTAACATACATTTTCCCAGGAATTTTTCCACCCTCTGTTTTTCAGAAAGGCCCCTCCCCCTATGTTCTCCACAGTTTCTCTAACTTCCCTTCATCCCTTTCCAACTGGCAAAAGCTTTGTCTTACCACAAAAATACAAGCTGGTCTGACCTTCTTCTTCCAGTAATTAAAACCTGCTCATATCTTCCTAAAGAGATGCTCACATAAGGCTGGAAAGACTGTCAAGATTCAAATCCAGAGAGATGCTCTTTGGGTTAGAGATGTCTTCCTGAAATGCTGCAGGTGTTACCTTGCCCATGGCCCCGGAAACAGGGAGAGGAGAGCCTCTTCCAAGTAATGTACTGTTCATCTAAGGTGCTTCTTGTGAATTTTTCCGTTTTGCAAGTGTATGAAAGAAATGGCATTAATAAAGAAGCACCCTATTATTTATTTTTGATGGAAGTGTCCAAATAATTATCATATCCAGTTGGGATTTCCAACCTTTTGAAGACTGTACCTTTCTTTTGGGTGTGTGCCAGTCTTGACCAAGAGTATTCCAGCATAATCACCTTTCAATGTTTTTTTATGAATAAATAAACAAATAGATCCAAGTGCTCTAGGCATCTGGCCAGATTGTTAAAAACAATCCAAGAAAACTATAGCAGCAGCAGCAAAACAGTCATTCCCCTCATGCCCTGCCAACAACAAAACAGAGTCAACAATAACATGAACAAGACCTTTGAATCTCAGAACCAGCAAATGAACTTTAATATCAGAACTTAGCCAAGCCCCTCCAAAAAGAAGGAATTTATGGAATCCATGTTAAAATATTTAAGATGTTTGATTTTAAATAAAACAACCTCCATCGAAATATATTGTAACTGAAAACATGTGGGAACATAGTGAAGGCCAGAAGAAAGGGAAAGAACAGTATTCACCAGCTAGCATCAGTATTCATGTAAGTGGATCGCACTATATTGTTTCACATTGTACTTTGCTCCTGCTTCCATTGCTGTTCTTAAAACTAATATCCCCTTTGTCACATAATCACTCTCCTGTCGGTATCCTCAAGACTTCTTCCAGAACATGCATTGTTTACTTAAGTTTCCAACTTTAAGACACACCCAGAAGGATTACATTGATCTTTTGACATGTGAATTGCTACAGACATATTTAAATTATTTGGAGGATTCCTGTTCTTGTCCTAGGGGACATAATATTATGCTGAGAGCAACACTTCTTATATTCTTTTCCTCCAGCAGTAAAAGGTGAAGGTTTTTATGCCGCTTTTCAGATAAATAAGCTATAATGAATATTCATTAATGTTGAAAGTTGTTCCTTGTTTCTATTACATTAGGGGGTCATGTTAACTTCTTTGGGCTTATAAAAACTGTAAATCAGCATGTAATTTTACTAACGTGTAGTGATCTAAAATTAAACCATTTATATTGAATGGTCCTATAGAAGGTGAGAAGGAACACTTTCTCTGTTTTATGGAAATAGGGTTCTGTGCATTCTGATGAGGGGAATGGCTTTTGGTGCATAATCTGCACTTCCAAGTGGATAACCCTGTTATTTTTTATCAGACAAAAATTGTTCCCTGAATAACGAACGACACGATTGCATGTTGTAAGATATCAGTTCATTTTTGTTATGTATGTTTTGGCTGTTTACATCTGTTCCAGCTGCTTGAAACTTATTTATTCAGTCTTTGAAAATGATTGTGTTTGGAGGAGAGCGTTTTTCCGTTTAAAAAATGAGAGGTTTAATTCTTTCACCATCCTAGCATGTTTAATTCATAGTGTATTCACTGTTTAACATTAAATGAATCAGCTGATAAACTACAAGGGTAGTCTGAGTTTGAAACTTATGGAGCTACTTTTTTTTCTTTTGCAATAGAAAAGTTACAACTAATTTTAATAGAAATCTTAATTTGTTTTAAAATATAAGTAATGTCACCCTTTCAGTAAAATGAACTGTTGGAGGCAGTCAAATAAATATCCTTTTATCATATCACAAAAAAAAATAAAAGTGAGACATAGCAGAAGTTTCACTTTGAAATGTACTTTATATTTTTCCCTTGGCCTGCCAAAGCCCACGTATTTTAATATTACTTGGAATACACACTTGCATGGATTATATTTTCTGTGATAGTCAATCCTGTTTTTATATTTTCTTGAAGCTTGTGTAGTTACTTACAAGTGCACAAAATGGTGTAAGCAGTTCCTTATTGTATGATTTACATCTTACAACTACAGCTACTTTGGTTGTATGTTTTAATTATTGAATCCCACACACAAACATGTATCCACTTTATTGTAAATCAATAGTAAGTGCTATCCATCAAGATGTGAGTGATACTAAGGACTGCAGGACAGCACTTAGTCTCACTCACCATCAAGTTCTTATTCTTCAGAAGTAGTTGGTAAGAAAGAGAACATTGGATAGGAAAAGGGAAAGATTCCTAAATGTAAGGAGTCTTATTGAATGGAACTGCTGCTTATTCATTCTTCCATTTACAGAATTGTGCTTTCCAAGGTAATTATGACTGTGGTTATAATTATATATAAATGTGCCCTCCTTCATCTTCTTCCATGTCATAAAACAGGGAAGAATGTAGGAATGATCATAATTTCTTTTGCACTAGAACTAGCATGATGTGAGAAGAAAGAAACATGGGAAACCATTTGGAATCATAGTTGTATGGGGTGTTGTGGTCATTGTTCTGGGAATACACAAATCAGAAGAGTTATGAGCCATTGTTTCTAGATGTTCATGTATTGTCTTTTTAGGACTGGCTTCTAAGTGCTCCATTTAACACTTTACTTACTGCTGAGTGAAGTCACCAATTGTATAGACCTCATACTGCACTATAGTGACATCTAACATGTTTACTGTTTTATTTTCTTTTGCTGCCTTACAAGTTTTATTTTGTCTTCAAAGAGTTAATAGATATTTTGGTATGTTTAGTTAGGACTCATGACTATTCAACCAAAAGTTTTTTCATACAGTAGAAACTTTATACAATGTATCAATAGTTTTGAAATGTTAGGAGAAAATATTCATCTCCCATATAAAAAAAATAATAATTACAGAAGTGACTCATCCAACAGTTCAGTGTGTTCTGAGCCAGCTGCCTGGCTGGCATCACCCTCACATCTGCAATCTGGAGATGGAGTTCCTGGGGCCTGGTTCCTCTGCTGTCCCTTCTTGCCTACCCACTATTTTCCCTGTCAGTCAGGATTTGTCTAGAGCCTATTCTGCTCTTTACAGAAATTTCATCTTCATGATGGAAATGGTGAGTTTGGGAGTGGGAGTATTTCTCTGGGGAATTCAAGCAATAACATGGATAAAAATTATAATCTATCATTCAAATTATTCAGTTGCAATTCAATGGTGTTATTTATCATCAGTCATTTTAACAGTTATAAAAGGTATTAAATGATTCAGAAAACATAAATTGATCTTTCTCAGTATATTCTTCTTTAATCACTTATTCTTATACATGGATTGCACTATACTTCAAGTACAAAAAAAGTTTATATTTTGTCACATTTGGACCTTGAAAGTAAAAAAGGGTTACATGAGTGTGAGTGAGAGTCTAACTCTGTGTGTTTAGCATAAGTCTCCTGTTTCCTTTTCTTTCCCCCCTCCTCACCCGCATTCCTGTTACATATGAGTATCAGAATAAAAAGAACATTTATTTTCTTTTTTTTCCCCTTGCAGGCAAATGTTTCCAAATGGGCTTCCTGAAGAATACTATTTAAGAGCCACATTCCGTGTAAGACGAAACACAAAAAAAGAGCGGTGGTATATATGGCAAATTTTAAATCAGCACAACACCCCAGAGGTGAGCATAGATTTTTAGTTTTTTGTTTAGTTTCTTTTTGGTTGGAGGATGACAGATACAGTTTACAGTGGGGGTTTTTTAACTCTGGATTCAGATACAATTAATGAAAAGATGGATTTGCTGCTTTGAAATAGCATGGTGCAATCACAAAACAAATATGTAAGTCCATCAAAAATTTCCAAATGCGCTCAAACAGTGGCATAAGACAGGTCTCATGTATTGACTGAGCTTTATAGTTTCTATTCAAACCATCTATCAGATTGCTAAATTATTTTTTCTTCCTATTTTCTATTCAGGCTAAATTATTTTATTTCTTCTATACATACTTGTTTTTATTTCAGATTTTGAATGACTTTTATTTTTATTTATTTTGCAGGTTTCTGTCCTAGTTGATGGTACAAAGAAAGTTGTGGAGTATATGACCAAATCTGCTCAGGGAAATATACTTCATTACATTTTTAAGAGTCGTGAAATCCATCCTCTGTTTGATCGACAGTGGCATAAGCTTAGCATCAGTGTACAGTCAAGGTTTATTTCCCTGTATCTGGATTGTAACTTAATTGCAAGAAGACAGACAGATGAGAAGAAAACTGTTGACTTACAAGGAAAGACTCTTATTGCTGCTCGCGCTGCAGATGAAAAGCCTGTAGATGTGAGTGAGCACCAGTGTGCGAAATTGGACGATGTAGAAATCATGTGTAATAGCAAAGTAATAAATTACAAAAATACAAAAATGCTGAATTCCTATTGGATGTTCCCCCCCCTTCACTGCTAGATTTTTCAGATATTCTTTTTTAAACTAGATGTTCAGTTCTGCATGTTCTGCTCATGCAAAACTCACTGTTATTTTCACTGGATATTTTTGTCTAAGTAAGAACTAAAGAATTGAGTTCATGGTTTCAGTAGTCTTTGTATTTCAGTATTCATTTAGTAGTGAAAGCCATTCAGACGTATTATTACAGTACCATTAAGAACTTACTTTATAATAACTGTTTTGTATTCAGTTTCCCTGTAATTGACTTTTTTTATCCGAAGGGGAAAGAATGTCTTATATGTTTAGCCAGTTAAAGTGTTTTCATTAACTCTTTCCCATCCCAAAGTTGCAGATGAATAAATCTGAAAATAGAGAATACAGTACATGCAGTTAGAGTAAGGGCAACTTCATGAGATTATTTAGGGTATTTTTTTAATAAGATGGCGCAGGAAGAAAATTACATCAGCTCAGAGGCAGCTGAATTTTTCTATCAAATACTAAGGGGATCTTTATTTTTCTGCTATCCAACAACTAAAGCACACTAAGTAAAACTCCTTTTACTTTTTTATGGCATATTCAGGGATGCCACTCTAGGGATTCTTTTTCCTCTGTTGTGATTATGTGTGTATTTACATGTGTGTGTTAATATAAAGAAGCAAAGCGAGTAAATTGTTGTAGTGGGAATTGTAGTTTGTTTTATATATAGCACACATTCATGTATCATGTTCCAAGCCGTAGGGATCAGAGTGATTCCATGAAAGATTTTTGATAGCATTCTACATTCAATACACTTGCAAACCTAAAGAAAATATATTAGAAAACTAAACAGCAACACTATAATATTATCATAATTTAACATTATTATAGGGGTTAGCCCTTCAGGGAACAGTGGATTCTGACCCTAATCCAGAAAAGCCCTTAAATTTAGAATTAACTTCCCTGGGTGCATCCAGGCATGTGTGGTTTATGGTGCTGCAGACCTCTGTGGTGCCCCAAACTATATGCAGTGAATGTTACAAAGTGCCCCATGCTGCAAATTTACAGGGTGGTGACAAAATTTGCTACCAGGATTTCCTGATAGCAAAAAAAAAATCTGGCACAAAAAGCAGTGCAACACATGCACAACAAGTGTGGGCCAGTATACATGGAGGCCAGGTCATCTAGAGCAACACTGGCTGCTGGCCAGGCCTCCATGCTACCTGACCTGTGCCCCTACTGCTCCAGGCCACCAAGTAAGACTGTTGGGCCAGCTTCCCCTGGCTGAAAAGCTGGGAGGATCAGGGCAAGGGCAGTTTATTCATTGAGGGACAATTTGTCCTGCAACGAAGAGCAGCTGCAGGGGTGTACACTGGCAATTTGTGCCACTGTAAGCACATGCCCCTGAATGTCTAGACATCACCTTTAAGTCCACTTGTATACTTAATTTTAGCATTTTGAAGGATTGAGTACATATTTAATTGAATATGTTAGAATATCTTCCATCACCTCAGTATTTGTCTCAAATCCTAACCGCAACTTTGCTCCATACCATTTACAGATATTATATACTGGATATATGCCTTCTGGATACTTCTGAGGGAAATATCCCAATGCATATAAGAACTCTAGCCTAAGACTGGTAGATACAGAAGAGTGGGCCCCTGTACTGCCAGCCAGTGGCCTCTTTCCAGTGCAGGGAGTGTGCCAGTAGTACGAGTCAAGGATGGAGAGCAGAAAAGGTGTGGAGTAAGGGTATGGTGAAATACAGGAATGCTATTTTGGATCTTCTCTGAAATAAGGTCTCTTCTAGACTTTATGCAAGTGATCTAAATTAGTGTAGTTCCTTATGTTCTCAAACTTCTGGTGGCCTGGTCAGCTCCGGATTAGGTAGTGATAAGCAAGCTTGCCCCGACCTGGATAATCCACCCTAAATGCTCCACAACAAAAGCCTTACAGAAGCACTGACACAATGTGCAGTTCAGCTCATAAAACTGGATCTGGTGGAATACTGAAGGGAGCACATTTCAAGGTATGGATCCGAAAAGGCACTTCCTGAAATATTTAACTCAGAACAGATAGCAAAAGCTATGCAGTGTAGATTACAACTGCCATGAGGTTAACTGGGTCCTGCTATGAGTTTTGCACCATAGTAGCTGAGAGTAGAGTTTGATCCTTAATCATATGACTCAGTAGAATAACTGGGAGTGGGAGGTGACCAGGACAGCAGCCCCAGATGCCACTTCCAGGAGGGGAGCAGAAAAAGCTGCAGCTGGCAACTGACTGTGCTGCTGCTACCAGCAGCCATCACTGTCCAATGAATCACTGCTGCCCAAGGTGCAGAACTACCCTGTTATCCTTCTGACATGACTAGAATTATTAAGTTCTTATTTTTGTCCATTTCTTCCACAAAACAATATTTCAGAATGACAGATTATTTTGCCAAGTTTGGAAAATTGTAGTAGTTTCCTCTTGTGTCTAAATAATATTCCTTTTTTACTGCTGATATAATTCCCTGTTTCTGTTTCTCAACAGATTGAACTTCGCCACTTATCAATTTATTGTAATCCAAAATTTGCAGCTCAAGATACCTGTTGTGACATATCTGAAAGCTTGGTAAGTTGTTAGTAAAGATACAAATGTAAATATGAAAATGCATTGCTCATCTTTTGACAAACTTTTCACCTTATCTTATTACATAAAGGGTATAAACTAATAGAAAGGAAACCTTAGATATATAGTGGGATGTATTTGCCAGGAAAGCTCATCCCATGTGGAAGGTTACATGCTTCTGAAATGGATAGTTTTAGCAGACTAGAACTTCAATGGAAGGTGAGTCTAAGGGACATTGTCTAAATAAATATCAGTGGAGGCTGCTGGTGCTTTATAAATATGAATATCCACATAGATTAATTAATTTTTAGAAGTTAAAGGAGTCACAAATAGGCTATGAAAAAGATAATTTTTTTCCCACTGACCTAGAGCAGGGGTGGGCAATTATTTAGCCTGGAGAGCCACTTAAAGAGGTTTGGTGAGCTGATGCAAGCTGGGTCAACACCCCCCCTGCTCTGGACTGCAGCAGCTCACCAAAACTCCATAAGTGGTCCAGCAGCACTGGACAGAGTGGGCAGGGAGATGAGGTCTCCATGGAGACCTGGCTGGGACCCTTGCGGTACGGCATGCTTGGCTGGGTGTATGGGATGGGGCTGCAGGCAGGCAGGGAGCAGCATTTGGGAGAGGGACAGGTGGGCAGGGCTGGTGCTGGGTCCAGGACTACAGAGCAGTGACAGCTCGGGGCCATGTGGCAGGAGGATTGCAGCTCTGCCCAAGCCCTGGCCCTGGGCTGTCACTGCCCCATGATTCCAGGCCTGCCCATATGCCTTGCACCCAGCCAAGTGTGTCCTGGTCATGGGGATCCCAGGCCAGTCTTCATGAAGACCCTGCCTTCCTGTCCACTCTGCCTGGCACCCCCAGTAGTGGGTGTGGAGTGAGCAAGCCAGGGTGACCAGGCAGTGGTGTTGAGTTTGGCAGCATTGGTGGTACTAGCTGCAGCAGCCAGAAGAAGCTGCTGTTGCCAGGGCTGCCAGGAAGTGGAGTCTAGCCACTGTGCCACCTTAGCCCCACTGTGCATCCAGGAGTGGCAAGACTGGTCACATGCACCACGGCTCGTACTGCCCCTCAAACCTGGTGGGGGCAGGTTCAGTTGGGTGGGGCTGAAGAATCCAACACATGGTGGATCCCCTGAGTTAGAGGAATGGTTCCAAAGACCATAAGGCTAGGGACAGACATTCAAAAAGCTGGAGCCTGAATTAGTCTAACCTGCAAACACTGAAAAAATTTGAAAGTGAACAGACATTTACTTTTGATTCCAGAAATTCAGGCACATGGCTGCAGTAGCTCAAGCTAGAATCTGGGGGGCACTGGAGCAGCTCTCCCTTTCCTTTGGCAGCAGCTGTAAGGCTGGAAGGAAGCTGAAGTGGGGCATGGCCAGGTCCCCAGCAGGGGCTAATTATGATTGGGGAGGGGTTTAAGTCTCCACCCGGGCCTGTAGGGACCCCAGCCAGGGTGTGCCTGGAGGGGGAAGGTGGAAGCAACCCTTGCCAGACTTGTCCCCAAGGCCAGACACTAGCTGGGGCAGCACCTCAGGCAAAGGAGGAAAGGGGGGATTAAACTTCCCTGTCTCCAGGCAGGCACGGGACCCCCTGTCTCCAAGTGGGCACAGGACCCAAGCCAGGGTCTGCCCAGCTTTCCCCTCTGCTCCTGCTCAGGCGGTGGGAGGCCCTAGCCAGAGTCAGGCAGCATGGCCTTGCTATCCACCCAGAGCTGGGACTACAGTTGCAGCTAGGGCTGTGGGGCGGTGGGGCTGGGGGTCTGAGCTGAGTCGGCCTGCAGGTGCTGCTGAGGTTGGAGGCAGGAGGGCCAGCCTGGGCTGGGTTGTGGGGCTGGGCCCTTCCCAGCAGGCTGCAGCATGGGCTGGCTCCACAGAGGCTGCGCAGCCAGATTGTTCCCAGCTTCCTGTGCCCAGACCAGGTGGGGCTGTCATGGAGCCATAGTCAGCTAGGTAGGGCCCTTCCCAGGCTGTGGCTCTGTGGCAGCCCAGCCTGTCAGCATGGGCAGGGGCTGGCCAGGTTGCAGGCTGCCCAGAGGCGCCAGCAGGCCCTGAGTGTAGCAGCAACCTGCTGCAGCTGCTGCTGTGCCCCCCGGCCCTGTGCACCCGGCAACTGCAGACAAAGCAAAAGCTGTGGTCTAACGGGCTGGGTGGGCTGTTCTGCCCCTCCTTGCCTCCAGCTGCTGCAACCACTGCTTCTGCCACCCCTGCCTCTGCTGCATCATGCCCTTCTGGGTGGGCAGGTGGGAAGCTTCAGCCTGGCAGCTTCAGCCCAGCACGTGGAGCTTTGGCTTCAGCTGCTTTCCACCCACTGCACCCACCCGCAGGGGCTGCTCATCGCGGCATGTGGGCAGAGCTGCTGGAAGGCAGCTGACAGCTACAGCCAGAGCTCCATGTGCTGGGAAGAAGCTACCAGGCTGAAGCTCCCCGCTACCCTGAGTGGTGCTTCATGGGGTGGCAGGAGCAGGAGCCGCAGCTGCAGGTTAGGGGAGCAGAGCAGCACTGCTGGGCCCAGCCAGCTTCCCCTCGCCTCCAGTGGCTACTTCCCCCTTCCACTTCTGCCCCTGCTGTGCCACTTTGGGTGGTGCAGGTAGCTTCAGCCTAGTGGCTTCTGCCAGTGCACAGAGCTCTAGCAACAGCTCTTGGCTGCATTCTATCCGCTCCACCCACAAAGCTCAATGAGCAGTCCCTGCAGGCAGGCGCAGTGGGTGGAAAGCAGCTGGAGCTGGAGCGTCATGTGCTTGGCTGAAGCTGCCAGGCTGAAGCTTCCTGCCCACCCAGAGTGGTGCGGCAGGGTCAGGGGCAGTAGCAGTGCCAGCTGGAGGCAAGGTAGACAGAGCAGCCTGCCTGGCCTTGGCTAGCCTGCAGCTTTTGATGCAGACGCAGCCACTGGGTGCTGCACAGGGCAGGGGGTGTGGTGATGGCTGTGGTGGGTGGCTGCCAGGCTCAGTTACACGTTCACATCAGTTTCTGATCACATAAGCCAGTTTATGTGTAACTTCTATCCCTAGCTTATATGTGTAACTGATACGGAGACAGAAGCCCTTTTGAAAGGGGTCATTACTGAGTGAACTTTTCTGAGATGAAGGAAAAGGGGAACAAGTGAGGATGCCAGTGAACTTTTACTTACATGCTTTCATTTTACCAACATAATGAAAATAAAAATAAATAAAATAACAGCTGAATGTGAAATTTTCCAAGTTTTTTTTAATCTTTGTACTGTGTATGTTTTGGCTTTATGTATTGGTAAACTTGAAAATAATCTGGCATGATAGGATTATAGTTCAAAAGGATTTTGATAAATTAGAGGACTGGGCTACAGAAAACAAAACAAAAATTGAGGGGAAAAAAGCTAACGTTTTTCTTCCCTGTAGGGAAGTAAACCCTACATGCATATAGAATAGGGGATAACAGACAGCCAGTAGCACTGCCAAGAAGCAACTGAGTCTTATGGTGGATCACAAACTCCGTTTGAGTGAGCAGTGGGATACTGCTGCTGGGGGGAAAAAAAGCAAATATAATTTTGGGCTTCATCAACAGAAATATTAGGTATAAGACACAGGAGGTGATAGTGTGACTCTGCTTGGCACTGCTTAGGCCTCAGCTGGGGTGTTCTGGCAAGTCCTGGGTATCACATTTTAAGAGGATGTAGAGAAACTGAAGTAATCACATAGGAGAGCCACTGATGCTAAAGAAGTTGATGAACAAGTCATATGAGGAAAGGTTGAGGTATGAACTGGGTATGTTTAGTCTAGAGAAAAGGAGATTAAGAAAAGACATGGTTTATATTTGAGAGGCTGCCCCTCATAGAGAAGAAAAAGAATAAACAATTGGCCTCCCTTTCTACGGGGTGCAAGACATGAGGCAGTGGGTTTAAAAGTTGCAGAAAATCTCAAGAAAAGCTTCCTCATTCTGAGACCCACAGGTCAATGAAACAAGCTGCCAAAGGAGGATGTAGAATCTCTTTCACTGGAAGTTTTCAACAAGAGACTGGATAGTCATCTGTCTGGGATGGTTTACAAATAACATATTCTGCATTTGTACAGAGGAATGGCCTTAGATGACCCTTTAGATCCTTCCCAACCCTATGATTCTCTGAATCTCAGAGTGGTTTCTCAGTAATGCGCTATGAAAAATAGCAGAGAGGAGGAGTTGTAAAAGATTAGAGTAGTAGAATGTATGATTTTTTTTCTTGTCAGGTACTAGAAGAGGACTCAAATCCATATAAATCTTATTTTTATTTTAGTGTCCAATGGAGGACAGGCTAATTACTACCACTTCATCACCACTGACTGTTCATGCCAGCAAAATACACATGCTTCCAATAACACAACAAGAACCTAGAGACAGATGCTTCTGCTTTCCAAGCAAAGTAAGAAGATCAACTTCTGTGTCCATGTACTCTTTATCTTGTATGCTTTCCAAATGTTTCTACTGTTACTCAACTCTTCACAGTCTTAACTGATAGAGATGTAGAAAAATGTATTTTCTTTGAGATATGAAAAAGTTGATTGCTTTAAACTATGAATGTGGGGGCCCCCATGCTTATACTTCCAAGTTAAGATAAATTTAAACCTAATAAATTTAAAAGTTAGTGTTCTATGGACCTACATGATTAAATGTTGGAGGGAAAGAAAAAATGGACTGTGGTTGCATCATTTTCAGAATCAATAATGAAATCTATTCCTACACCATTATATTTAACTTGTATTTGCTTATGTGAGAGTCAGTTATTTCATATATATTATTTTTAGTAGAAAATAAGTGTTATATCATGTTCACTCTGGTGGTATATATTTATCTTGACAGATTTGTATCATTAAGTGTCTACAGTAGAAAGAGGAAAATCAAAAATTTTGGTAACTTGAACATTCATTTTTAAATAGGGAGAAGCAGGATTGCCAGGTGTAGCTGGTTTGCCAGGTCAGAAAGGAGAAAAAGGAGAAAAGGTAAGATAATTCCATATTATTAGTTTCAGGATTTTATCTTTGTTGCTTCCTTCTTTCTTAAAGAATAGCTGTTAACATTGTTTAGAGAAATCTGTTTATATATTGCTTAAATGTAATAACAGAGATATAAATATTACAATAAAAATAAATATAACAAAATGTACCTGCAAGTACCCCGTGTCCCCTCAGTTTTCCTTCTGCTTTTTCCTCATCACCATTTTCCCAGAGACTGTTAGAAGAAATACAGACTGTGAAGAATATGATTTAATTAGGACACAACTCCACTAATACATACAGAGATTTCTTTTCTCTTTTTTTCTTTTTGTAGGACTGGAAGGGACCTCCAGAGGTCATCTAGTCCAACCCCTGCCTGAGGCAGGATCATCCCTATCCAAACCATAATTATCCAACAGTAACTTGCCTATGGCGGGTCATTGTTCCTTTGTGATCTGTTCCTCTTGGTAAGGGTTTTCTGTTAGCCCCTGGCTCTTTTAATTTGGTCCTAGTATGACCTGGTCTTGGTTCTGGACCATGCATAAGAATGCTGACCACTTATTCCAAGGTATCTGCTCTCATTAGCTATTATTTTAGTGCCTTACCACCATAGCATCTGGCTATGCTTATATTATTTTCATTATACTCTTTTGTTTACAAAGATCAAAAAGTGGCAGGGCATTTTCCTGGTAGTTGATACATGTTGATATAATTTCTTTGATATAGATTTTTTTTTACTTTCCGCTAAGAAATGTGTCTTGTTTCCTGCTCTGGAGGCAGATTTCATCTCCTTTGCCTGATGTATAACTATTTAGTGTCTTACTTAGACATGTGCCAATTTGCTGTCTGGTAGTATGAAGAAACAGTTTGCTATCTGGTACTATGAAGAGCCTAATTTATCATCTATGGCAAGTGTTGACATTCTCTTAGTAGTGGATTAAAATAACACAGAAATAGTGGTTTAAAATAACACCTTTGGGCCACTACTTGTGACCAGGAAACCACCATTTTCCTTTCAACTGAATTGCCCTTGACATGCTTGCCACTTGGCCACTGCCAAATGCCACTGCTTCCCTCCACCACCAAATTGCCACCAGTGTCCCAGCTTCATGGCCTGGATGAAATTGGTTGGTGAGCCAGATCTGGCCTGTAAGCCATAGGTTGCTGACCTCTTCTCTATGTGAAAATAACTTTAAAAAAGAAAAATAATGTTGCTGGTAATGTGGTGGAATAGGGCAGAAAGCAGAAAAAAAATCTTTATCCTATATCGTTTTCCTGTCACTTCTTCCCCTTGGTAGTCTCAGCTTTGCAACATTAAGAATTGGTGAACAGTTGTTGTGTCATGAAAAGGAACCAGCCACCTTTTGGCTCCTCCTGCAGCCTTAAATCCTCTGAATCCAGCTAAATCCTTCAACTGTATAGAATTTTCTTATACTTTTGAGGTATCCATCAAGGTTCCCTCCATACTTGATGTTCATTTCATTTACTAGTGATGAGAAAATCTTACCATGTCTGAAGACCCCATTCAGCAGGTACACACCCAGAGGTCTGGAAGCTTATTCAGGTATCAGATTTCTTGGGTATTCAGAATTGGATGGGTATCTCATGGAAATAACTTTATTTTAGGCTTTCCAATATTTTCTATATCTGCTTAGAGCATAAATACAGTAAGAATGCTTTTTTTAAGGTAACTGCCTTGTCTGTACTTGGCGTCAGTTGGAGCATAGAAGTATAAAACTTTAAACATGAAGACTGGAAAGAAAAAGTTAAATTGACTTAATCAAAGATCAGAAAAATCTGGGCTTAGGTAACTTTTTTTGTTGCTAGCAAAGGTTCCTGAAAGGGTAGATTTTCATTTTATGTGGCTGTGTCCATTCACTCTTTATCAAGGTCAAAAGCAAAATTGTAATGTGATACTTAAAAGGTGTGTTCTGGGCCAAATGATATCCCCAGGTATAGCTATCAAATATATATGAATGTATATTAATAATAACAAAAGATACTTTAGAGCAGTGGTCTCCAAAGTGGGGTGCACGCACCCCAGGGGGTGCACAAGATGATCCATTGGGGTGCGGGAAGAAAATATTAGAACTTCTATTCCAATTTATATATATATAAATATACATATATTGGGAGGGTGTGCTCAAAAATTTTTTACTGATAGGGGTGCGCGATCAAAAAAGTTTGGAGACCACTGCTTTAGAGAACTGATTCTATTCTTTTTTATCAAGTTTATTTTTCAAAACTTTTTGTAGTCTTATTTTCTAACTAAAACATCAACAGCCCATGTTACTCTAGTGCCCCATCACCATGCAAATGCATTTTAAATTACTTTGTTCCTTAACTTAAAATGTGCACCTTTGACCAAAATACATTGCTAATAGCATTGTTTTTTCTTAGGGCTTTTTGATGCAAGGTGAGAGCAATTTTTCGTCTTAAAAAGGAGCTGCTGTCATAATCTTTTCTAATACCACATTTTGCTTCAAGGCAGTTTTGCTATGTGGGCTCTGTAGTTGTAATACATGATAAAATAAACAAGGTGCCATATTTTGTGTTCACTACAAGCATGTACGTTCTAGTTTTTACAACAAGTGCACAGAATAATGGTTGCATAGCATGAAGATTAAGAGGTCAATTGCCTTTGAGGCACTCTGAATAGTTAATGTAATGAAATAATCACAAATATAAAACTGCAGATGGTGTCAGATGTGCAAAACTGTTTCTATTTCAGACTGAGGGATGATTGGGAGTATAGGAGGGGAGTGCATTTGATGTCTGCAAAATCATTTAAAACTTGGCTTGCTTTATGAGGAATCTTGGAGGAACATTTTCTTTTCATGTTGATCTACTAAACTTCTACCCTGTCTGCTTATGGCTTGACAGACATGAGTTTTGTCAAAAAATGTAATAATTTTCTGGTTGTCTGTGAAGTGTATCAGGTTCTGAAGAGTCTATTACTGATTACATATGATACCTATTGAAAATAGTTGTCATTATTTTACGATTTGTAGTGAGTATTAACAATAGGTTTAAGTTCGTTTTTAAATGGAAGGTCGTTGTGCTATTTCAAATCTTTATTAAATTGAATGTACCTCCTGACCTATAAAGTTGACAACAACTTTTCTGTGTTCATCACTTCATGAAACTGTTCCTGTCTAGTACCTTCAGGTATCATTGATCACTGGTTGGACACACCAGGTCACAATTTATTTCCCTGTAGTTTCTTTAATGTTCTTCCAAGGTCTGCATAGCTAACCTTGTAGGAGGAAATCAAGCTATTATTATATTTCAGGAGGCTAAGAGAGATTATTCTTTAGTGTTCTCTTGGAGCCCTGAACATCTCTTCACTTTATTCCCATTTTTTTGTCATAAGCTCCTCTAGAAATCACTGGAATGACAGCTTCTATCTTTTTGGCTGAGGAAAGTTGAGCCTATTCTCTCTGAAAAGATTCCAGAACTGCCCAGATGATTTTTTTTTAATTATTAGTGCAAGTTTCTCTGGTCTTGTAAAGCTAGCGATGTTGCTATAACATTTCTGTCTGCAGGATCTGGAAATTATGGTGGATCACAAACTCAGATGAGTCAACACTGTGACACTGTCCAGGTCTGAGCACAGTATTATAAGAAGGCTATAAAGAAAGTGACCAGGGCCCAGGGATAAATGATAAAGATGGTAAAAGGGTTGGAAAGGAAGCCACTAGAGGAAAGGTGGTTTGGAGAAAAGGAGATTAAGAGAGGATTTGATAGCAAGTTTTCAAATGCTTGGAAGGATACCATGAAGAAAGTTTTCTCCCTTGCCATAGAAGGCGGGGTATGTGGCAATCAGTTTAAATTTCAGCAAAGTAGATCTGTATTAAATCTTGGGAAAAAGCTTCCTAGCTGTCAGAACACTAGGACAGTGGAAAAAGTTGTGGGAACTACTTTCATGAGAAGTTGTGGAATCAACTTCAGTGGATGTTTTCAAGAACAGGCAGAATAAGTATGTGTCTGGAATGGAATCAGAATAGTGACTTTCGCCATTTGTGCAGGGGGTTGAACTAAATGAACCTCAATGTCCCTTTCATCCCTAAGCTTCTTTCAGTATTTCTTGTTTAGCTTTCACTGTCTTAAACTAATTCTTGTTTTAAGGTTAAATCTAGACTATAAACTTGCAGGAAGATCCTTATACAAGGGCAAGTCTGTGAAGGCTGATTAGGTATCTTCACCTTTCTAAGTTGGTGTTACCTCTCACAGTAAAAATAAACAAGTCTCTCTGTGGATCAAATAGTGGCTTCTGGGCGCGTCCACATATGCGAGCATGTGCGGTTGCAGCAGCTCAAATAGAAGCAGTGCAAATTTGAGCTGGGGCTTTTTGCCTCACCGTACATGCTTGGACATGTACTTTGTTTTGGAGCAAATTGTGCCATTTGGGACAAAATAACCCTGCCTGGCTCCTCCTGGATCTTCAGCCAGGTGGAGCTAGAGCCCAGGGCCCCAGCCATATAAAAAGCTGCCCTGGAAAGTAGCTCAGGGCTACTTCCTCTCAGGAGCTTCTGGGGCCCAGCCAATTAGTACCTGGGGACACTACCCCTTGTGCCAGCTGGACTGCTGAAGCAGCCCTGAGAGTTCCCTGCACCCTTTACCCACTGCAGCAGTCTGGCAGTAGGGGCTGCGATCTTCTGCGCACCTGCCAGACCCGGATGAGTCCTGCACAGCCAGTTGAGGCATCTGCCCTTGTGGGCTAGCTGCTAGTGGGGTATGGCTGCAGAGCTGGCCTGTGTGTGGCATGACTGCTATGTGTGCCCCCTGCCCGCCCACCTGGGCAGCTATCGCCTGGAAGATGTTCTGGGTGTGGTGGCCTGCTTTGAACTGTCAAAGCATGTCCTTCTGGCCCCATTTGGCCAGGAGGTCAGCCACAGGCAGATGGGTCCAAGGTGCCAGCTCTGAGCAGGC